TCATATGTCTCTTATGTAGTCTTTTCTCCCATGGCACCACCTGCAGCATTGTCAACTAGGGCTTGGCAAGCCTATGTCAGTCCATCATAGAAAAATTGATTAAGCAATTCTAAAGGATATCTATGATGTGGACATTGAACCAAAAGCAATTTAAAATGCTCACAAGCCTCATGGTCCTCATGGAACGGCTCACCTCCTTTCTGAGTAAAGGTGGCAATCTTACCTCGCAGTTCGACAGTTTTAGCATAAGAATAGAATTTACCTATAAATCTGTTGTAAATTGCATCCCACATGGTAAGTGAAGCTGAGGCCAACGTCATGAACCATCTCTTAGCCGCATCCTTCAATGTGTAAGGAAAGCAACGTATCCGCAATTGGTCTTTTGTCAAACTTTGCAAAGGAAAAGTTTGAACAATAGAATAAAAATCACAAATAAACGTTAAAGGGTCCTCTGTGGCTATGCCATGGAATGAAGGTAACATCTGAAAGTGAATGTGCTTCAGCTCATAATTCCTTGCTACATCATTCAGAACTATGCAAGATGGTGATGTTCCTATAGTAGGATGTACATACTCCTTCATAAGACAAGGTAATTCAACCATTATCTCTGGTTCGGAACTTGAATCTAATGAATTTTCGAAAATCTTTGGTTCCGTTCTCTTTCTACTGATCAAGTCTATTCTATCAACATAAGAAAATAAGTCTTTATCCAGTGATCTATGACCTTGCATTCAAAAACAAACACACCAACGAAAACAAAAACAAAAAATAACCCAAATAAAAACAATACAAATTAAATTAAATAACAAAAATTAAAGCACACGTTATCAAGAAAACTAAATAACTTAAAACAAATCTCGACAACGGCGCCAAAAACTTGGTGAACAATTTTATAACCTCGCAAGTGCATGAATCATTGTTGTAGTCTAGTGTGCAAAAGCAATGGTTTGATCCCACAGAGATTTGTAAGCAATTTACTAATCCTAATAACTATGCTTTAATTAAAACTAATAACTAGAATTAATATTAAAGAATTAAGGAAAATCACTTGAAAAGCAACAACTGATTAAAACTAAAATTAAACAACTATAAAATTATCTAAAACCCAATCAACCAAAACCTAGGGCTCCAATTTCACCATAACTATCTAGATCTATGTCAACCATCTATCTATTGTTTATCAATTCAATATCCGAGGTTCGCACTCACTAAATCAAGGTATTACCATAAGGCTTTCGGGATTAACCTAGTATTTTTAAGACAAGACTAGCTAGGGCGTATAGTCTAGCCTATGAATTAAAAACTCATTAAATACAAGAATACTTGAAATCAAGAATAAAGGCGCATCTGTCAGGGCGTATGCACGGAGTGCTAATCATTCATTCACATGAGTTCTTCAAGATTAAAACATAATATATGTCTAATCTCAACACATACAACCAAATAATTCACACTAAGTGTCGTCACACAATAATGAAAATTAAATATTAAATTAATAACATGAATGAATCAAGATTTCCATTAAATTGATAACAATAACATATGTTTAACACAAAGCCTTCCAATTAGGCTACATTGGATCCCTAGAGAATAATTTAGTTACATATTGATATAAAGAAAGCAAACCTCAATTCCCCCAAAAGCATCAATAATCCAAAATCCTATGAAGAATCTCCTTCTCTTTCTTGCTACAAAGTGGCTCTCAATTTAGGTCAAAGAGAATTATCCCTAAAATAAATTACAATGTCCTATTTATACTTTTTCTTTGCTAGAGGTGTTTTTGGGAAAGTACAAGTTCAAGTCAGAGTTGGAAAAAGGTAAAATTTTTCTTTTCTTTGCGATCCACGCTACAGCGTGATTTTGTGGCACCGCAACATCGAATTCTCCTGCAAACCTTAAAACTCTTTTGCGGTGCCGAATTCTTCATGTCGCACACAATCTTTCTGCTCTAATCACTCTTTCGCGCCGTGACGCAGAAAAACCCTGCCACAGCACCATCCAGTTGTTTAGCATTTATTCTCCTCTCGATGATTTGGTTTCTCCTTCTTCGCACATCCAAGGCCTCCAACCATCATGCGAACACACTTTTCTGCCTAAAAAGCTGAAACTCATACACATACCTGTGATTCTTGAAAATGGAAATATATAAAGAAGTTTGCATAAAAATAATCTGTTAAAGTCATGAATTTCATACAATTCACCTATAAAATCATAGAATATATAAATCATTTCACCACTCATTAGTACCTTTTTTAGTCATTTTAATAATAAAATATATTTATAAGTCATATTTTGCCAAATGCGTTAATTACTTATAAGTACTTTAATCAAACACGTAACTGCTTAAATTTCAAATGCTTATAAGCTTAAATTATCTTACAAGCACAAGCTGCTTATAAGCTAATTTTCATAAGCTCGGCCAAACAAGTTTTGAATATGAGCACACTTTTTTCTTCCATAAAATGAGTCAATAATTCACCATTATATTTTCTAATGAAGTTTTCTATATGATAAAACACAACGATAGAAAAACCCACCAAAAAGTTTGTCTTATACGCGGACCAATTAATAATTTCCTTAAATTTTCAACCAAATAACTAATGACTTGTCTCTTTTTTGCCTTATTCTAGAACACTAAATTTAATTTTATCAAGGAAAGTCTTCCCTCTCCACCAAATCTTCCAGAATTACAGCAAGAAAATGGAAAGTCAAATCTCACAAAAGCCAACTTTCTAATTGTATTATTAATTATGAATATGACGTATATGTATCTATAATAGATTTTCGGTCCATAGAAGACTGACTTTATATTGTTTTTAAGAAAATTACTTTATTTTGCCCCCTGTGAGATGGTTAACCATTAAAATCATTCGCTTTGTTCAGAAAGTATTAAAAACACCCCTATAATATCACAAACTCTCTACAATATATATATCAAACATCCTCGTACAAAATATCAAGTACCTCCAAATATGAGATATTTATACTTCTAAGCCAAGTAGATGAGTTTAATATAAAGTATAAACAATCTTATAGGAGAGAAAATTATATGAATCCATTTTTAAAATGAGTGATACTATTGACCCCTACATTTGATCTCTTTAGACCCCAATTATTGTTACATTTTTAATGACAATTTTATCTCCTATTAGAATTATTAAATAAGTCATAAAAGAGTTATTGGTATCTAAAATTTTATTTCCTCTTTCAATCATAAACTGTATTTTATTTTTGAACAATGAAGACAAAATTTATGCAATTGAGACTTTGATCAAGATCACGTAAATACAACGGATATGAAGGGGGTGTTTGTCTGAGCTTATGAAAATTAGCTTATAAACATTTGAAATTTTAAGCAATTACGTATTTAGTTAAAGTACTTATAAGTGACTGATAAGTAGTTAACGTGTTTGGTAAAATGTGGCTTATAAATACATTTTATTATAAAATGACTAAAAAGGGTACTATATTAAACAATGGTATACTATGAAATTTTAAAATTAAACAAGGATAATGTGATAATATACTTGGTCAAACTAGCTTATAAACAGAGTGTTTATAAGCAAAAAAATTTAAAAAAAAAAAAGTACCTCTCCTAACTTACTATTTTTTTACTTATAGGCTCAAAAAAGTTATAAACAAACAGATCAGTTTAATTTTAAAGCTTATAAGCTAGTTTGACCAGCTTATAAGCTTAGACAAACACCCCCGACATTTATGCTTTGCAATTGTAAATTATTTTGTTAATTTTCCTTTATCTTTTTCCTTCTGACACACTTCTCCAAAGTTTAATTAAATCCATGTGACTATTTAATTAAAGTAGGCGAGTTTTGGTGGGGATGAAGTATCAGACAAATACATAATTCCTAATCAATACTATATGTTCATAAAATATTTTAATTCAACTTAATATTAAAAATTTCAAGTTAAAATAGTATTTAATTTAATAATATCGATTTAATAACTGTATAAACCCAGATTAAAAAATAAATAAATGAAATTAAAAAAGAAAGACAAAAACATTAGGTAGTGAATACTGATTTACGATTAATTATTTATTAAGATGATGAATTCAAACTTTTCTAGTATTGATGATCAATAATTTGTTGGAAATTATTTTTTGCACCCTTCAACTTTTTGTCTAATTAAATATACCCCATCGGAAGGATTAATTTCATATACCCTTGAAAATCTCTTTCAGGTAAGGGATTTTTTTAATTATATATTAATATACCCTATAATTCATGAATGAAAAGATTTCTGATATATTTATTACTATTTTATTTTTAAGTCAATACAGTCAGCCCCATATCAAGGGTATTTTAGTATTTAATGACATGATACTAAGATATTGTTCCTTCTAGATGAATCCAAGATCTATCCTAGATTTTAAAAACATGTGGTTAATTTGGAGCAGATCCAAAAATTTCTGTTATGATACATCAAAATAAAAATAAATTACACATTAATATTTTTGTCGATTAATATTTTTATTAAAATTGGCTAAAATCTAGAAATTGAACATATTAATTTTTTTTTGTTTTTAACTTACAAGTACTACATCCGTCCTGCAAAGTCTTTCCCCTATAAATTAAGTAGTAGTTCCAAGGTTTGCTTAACTAACAAATTTTTTTTTTTTTTAAGTTTTTGAAATAGTAGAAATTTTTCTGTGTTAAATTTTAAGTGTTAAAATAAATAGTATAAAGACAATTTTGGTGAGTATTGATTAACTCATCATAATATAAATTTTAACTTTTAACGGTTTAGTCATTATATCAAACCTTAGAATCTAGGCTCTATACTAGGATCATTAATTCAAATCGTCTGACCAATAATTTAAAAGAAAAAACTGTCTATATAAACAGAAAGAGTGGTAGTCTTTTGGAAAGAAAATCGATCGTTCATCCATGGAGGCAACAATAAAAACGTCCTGGAAATCTTCCCCTGTGCCTAGTGTTAAGAATCTGGCAAACGAGTCTCTGGCTGCAGTTCCACCACGTTATGTTCGTCCCGATCAAGACTCCCCTTCCTTATCCAACGTTACTTCTTCTTTGCCTCAAGTTCCCGTTATCGACATGTCAAAGCTGCTTTCTCCAGATTCCATGGATTCAGAACTCGACAAGTTTCACCATGCTTTCAAAGAATGGGGTTTCTTTCAGGTTTAATCATTCTCTCATGTAGACATCCCAATTTTTTAAAAACATTCGCATTAATATCTTGACACGTCCATAAGAAATAGCTGGATGGTCAAGTTTGAGGTTTGCTCCCACAAGATTTGGGGTCAAAGCCGCTCATGAACACCTTCTTGCTTCCCAAAGATTACAAGGTTGTCGGAGGCTCCGATTTCGAAATTGGGCTTGCAAAGCAAGTGCCGAGATATTTTTAGATTCTCAAATTATAAAAAATAAAAAGTTAATTTCTTGATGCGAGGAAATTGTTATATAGAATTGTAAAGATGGAAATGTTTAATTTGCAGTTAATAAACCATGGAATGAGCAGTTCATTGCTGGAGAAACTGAAGGCAGAGACTGAAGAATTCTTCAATCTGCCAATGGAGGAGAAGAAGAAGAAGTTGTGGAAAGAACCAGGAGAAATAGAAGGATTTGGGGAGGCGTTTGTTGTATCCGAGGAGCAGAAGCTTAATTGGTCAGACGCGTTTTTTGTTATCAGCCTCCCCACTCATTTGAGGAAACCCAATTTAATCCCCAAGCTCCCTCTCCCTTTCAGGTTTTCTTTCTATCAATCTGTTCTTTTAATCTTCAGAGAGAGAGTTTATCTACCCCAAGGTTTTGGTCAATTATCTAAATTCTGCATTTTAAAATACTAGAATGTACTCTCTTAAATTTAACAAACATTTACGTAATTGGTTAATTGAAAGAATTTTTATTGTTTATAGTCTTAATGCTGAACAGGAATGGCAGAATTAAAAATTCTAGCCATGAAAATCCTGAACTTTCGTTTTGCTTACATAATGTAGAGATACGTTGAAAGCTTATTCGGCAGAATTAAAAATTCTAGCCATGAAAATTCTGAACCAAATGGCAAAAGCGTTAAGAATGGAAGCCGATGACATTAAAGAATTTTTTGAAGAAGGAATACAAGGCATAAGATTAAACTACTACCCGCCATGTCCACAACCAGAGCTCGTTATGGGCCTCAATCCTCACTCTGACAATGTCGGCCTCACAATTCTCCTTCAGCTCAATGAAATGGAAGGCCTTCAATTCAAGAAAGACGGCATCTGGGTTCCCGTTAAACCCGTACCAAACGCTTTTGTCATCAATATCGGGGACATGCTAGAGGTGATGCTCCTCACAAAATAGCCTTTCTTTTTTTGGGGATACGATCTTCTTATTTAAAATTTTAACTTAAATTGAGATAATAATTCCCTGATCATGAATATTTCATTCTAATGAATATAAGATGAAAGTTGGAGGTCGTTATTTTCATTGTGATCTCATCAACTCTTAAATCATTGGATTGTAATGGATGAAAATTTATGTTGACAATTTACGTTAAAAGAACTCATCCCTTTTTTTGTCTTTCTTGCAGTAATTCATGTCTAAATTTTTGTGTTATGATTTTTGCAGATTGTAACCAATGGAATTTACCGAAGCAATGAGCATCGAGCAACTGTGAACTCAGTGAAAGAAAGGCTCTCAGTCGGCACATTTTATAGCCCCAAAATCGACGGCAATATCGGTCCGGCGCCAAGCCTTATTACACCCCAAACTCCGGCGTTGTTTAAGACAATAAGTATGGCAGAATATCTGAAGGGAATATTTTCCAGCGAAAGGCGAGGAGGATCATATCTTGATGTAATGAGGAGGAAAAATGAGGAGGAAAGTGGATAAGTGATGTGGAAATTGTATCATAAAGTTTTCGTCACTGCTGCTGGTATGACTTCTAAATGAGCAGCACTACATTTACAATTTTTTTCATACAACATTTTCATACAATCCTGATGTGACAACTCACAATTTGTCATCTCGCAGTGGGTTTCATCTTTCCAAATACAAACTGATCAATCGCGAACTGTCATCTCAGGGTTGTATAAAATAGTTGTATGAAAAAGTTGTAAATATAGTTTTATTGCTTTTAAAATAATTAAGATTAAATAAGTTGTATCTGAAGAAATAAAAATTGTGATTCAAAATGATTAAATGTCGGCAAGTTGTGTTTTTTTTTTTTTTTTTAATGCGGGCATTATGTATTCGAAGGAATTAAAATTAAACTTTTTAATTGTCAAAATTCTTCTAAATAATACTCCAACTAGATGCCAAGCCCGCGCGTTTTGTGATTATGTTTATTGGATGTTTTGAAACAGTTTGTAAACAGCTTTATGGTAATGACATAAATTAATTATATTCATCTATAAGAATTGTTAAGCAACTTTGAGAAAGTGTGTTTTTCATCTTGCTCTAATATGATTAGATAAGTTAAAATGTGATAATGTATCCAGGGATGATGGTTATTGCATGAGATGTAATGAGAACTACATGCATATGTTTGTTTGGGCTCCCTTGATCTTCTTTGTCATGTTTGACCATGACTAAATTTTTGCCATAAAAAACTTTATCATCCCATTCATGTTTTGATGTAATATGCTTGGAAGATGATTCTTTTAAAATGCTCATATGTTTTTTTTCCATAACTTTGACATGCTAAAAGTTTTACCCTTTAATTTGATTAAAGTGTTGCATGTTTGAAGTATGTGCAAATGTTGCAACTCTTTAGTGGTGGAAATTTTAATGGCATAGAGTTATGATGTGTGGTTAGCTAAAATACATGCAAAGTGGCAAGTGCACTAGTCTTAAAAAGTAATAGAGTGGTGAAATGAGTATCGTCCCACAGAGATTGTGTATTAACTACTGATATTTCTAATTTATTACTAATTGAAGAACATAAAGAATTTGAATTGATGGGAGACAAAATGAATTAAACTAAAAACAAAGTATTAAAACTTGCAAGAAATTAAAACAACACTTTTTTTGGGTAATTAATTAAAACAACACTAAATTAAAGCAAATGGATTAAACTTCTTAAAACAAAGAAGTTAGGGCTTTTAACTTCACCAAGTTCTAACTAAACCTACGAATTCCAATTGTTCAAATTCTATTGATATGACTAAAAATCGATCTCCCTAAGATGTTTGGCACTCCCTCTCGGGTTATACCATCCCACCTATTACTATTAAGCCTCCGCACCCAAAGATCGAGACTTAATAGTTCAAGGTCTCTTAAGCATTGTAGAATCTTATCCATATTACTAAGATCGCATTTATCTATCTTTAGTTTTCGCTCAACCAAAGGTATCTATCCCTAAAAGCCACACATGAATTGCTTCTCAGAACATGTTCAACAAGTTATTTGAATGAAAACCCAACATCCAAACACAATAAAAACGGAGATAAACACTTAATCACAACAATAGAACTCAAGAACAATAAGAAATTCATAGATTAAGCAAGTAAAATCAAGGATCCATCAAAACCCCAACTAAAACATATTAGTTCATGATAAAAACAAAATCTAACATTAACAAAATGGAAATACTTAGTTCAACATAAAATCAAAGGAAGAGAGAGAGAAATCTTCTCTAATTTGGAGCACAAATCTTCAAAAACTCTTCTTCTCTTCAAAAATCCTTTACAAATGACGAACTCTCTTAAAAAATTAGACTAACTTTTCTTTAAATATTAACCTAAAATCCTTGGACAATAAGCCTTAGACGCAAAACACGTCGTTTAGAAAAACAAAATTTTTCCAGTTTCACCGCAGCGAAGCTTTTTCTTCGGCGCGGTGAAGTTCTATTTTAAGGCCTGAATTTACGAAACTGCCCTCATCTTTTCTTTTCACTTGAATCTTCACTCTTCTTGGTTTTCGATCAAATCAAGCTTCAAGAGTGATTCCAATCAACCTCAGAACCTCTCTGATCTTCTAAACTACGAGCAAAACTGGGTCAACAAGCTCAATTTTGCTCTGTTTCTCTCCAAAACAGGATTTAGGCCTGAAACATAAAATAGACTGAATTAAATAACAATTCAGACCAAAATCCGAAGAGAAGTATTAAAAATCCTATCAATCATAAGAAAAACAATATAATCTTAGGATCATCAAGTTATAGAGTTTATTAATTCATATGATGAATTGGATTATGTGATATGCATGATGATGGTAATATTTTGCATGATATTTAATTTGATTAAATTATCTTATAATACATGATTATATGGCATAATTTTTTTTTTTTAATGTTAATAATTTGATTTTGAATTGTTCAAAATGATGATGCAATATGACATTGTGATGTGACTTGTGTCATAAAATGATTTCTTGTTCAAATAAGCAAACCTATTTTTCTATGTCATGCATGTAATTTTTGAATTCAATTGAAATGATGTTTATTAATTAAATAAGAAAATATTATTTTATTCAGGGTGGAAATTGACAAAATTTGTTTTTATGATAGAATTCCTTAAAAATTGAGGTAATTGTTGCATGCCCACAAAAATATTACCACACACACACACACACACACACACATATATATAAAATTCTAGTCCCAACTTAGGTCAGTTATAAATAAGAATAAATTTCACATTGTAATAAGTTATAATTTCTCTAAGTCTCATCTTAAGGAACTTGACTCTACATAGTAATAATTATATGTATATCGCAAAAAATATATATTATGTTATATTAAACATTTAAGATAAAATAAAATATTTATCTAAAGTTGTTTGGGATAATAATTTATACTTTAGAGTTGTTACTACATCTTTTATCTTGCAGGTACGTAATAAGCCGCCAGCATGAATTCCTTCTTGTTAAAGCCAAAATATTTCTAGCTCTCAAACATGTTTAGAGTTTCTTGGTATGAAATTTTTTGTATTTCCGTACTATCATCATCAGGATTATCTCCGTTCTCCTCTTGTTTAATTCCAATAGTGATTTCTTCTTCAGTTAAAACATATACGACTTGTTGCTTATTTGGATAATCGAGAAAGATATTAATATCCATTTGATTAGTATAGTGAAATTATCGAATCTAATCACTCAATTTTACAGTAACTCTTTGATATCCATTTCCGTACTATCCTAATGCTACTAAAACAATGAATTGAAATCATAATACTGCTAAAACATGAATTATAAAATAAGAAATCAAAGCAATAATTCTTGTAACTACACCTCTATTAAATTATAACCTCCTTATAGTAATAAATTTAATTGGTTCCAACATTATGACTATAGAGAGGTTCTATTGTATATATAAATAGATGCTAAAATATATGTATTTATGCAGTTAATTTATATTCATGCCTTTAAATAATTGTTTATTTTATATGGTATGGATGGATTAATATTTATTTGGATGAATATTTTGATCATGGGTGCCATTTGGTTTTCAAAAATATTCAAAAGGGTTCTTAAATATTCTTTTATTAAATGGCATGTAATAATTAAATTTTATATGTTCATTTATTTTAATTGGGCATGCATGCTTAAAATCCAATTTGTAATTGAATCGGTTCGACGGAAACCCGAAGAGCATCTAGATGATGATGCGATTGAATATATAGGATTAGGATAAATAGTTACCTTTAGGATGTATTTTCGAAAAACCCCATGATCAACCCACATGCTTTAATTTGTGCATATATGTGATATGTATGGAATGTTTATTAAACATAGCATGTTAAAATTAACTAAAGTTAAACGTAAATCTCCCTAATTAAAATTATTACATCCAAGTCTCCCATTATGAGTTAACTAAATTCTTTAACATAAATTTTAATATTCCAAGATTTCTATTATGTGAGTGATATGATCTTTATGCCGTAGAATTAAGTTGATCTTGTTCTTGGATGGATATTTTCATCTTGACCAAGATTTCTATAATGTGAGGACATGATGAAAATGTCATATTAAGAAAGCATAATGGTTCGGATTTAACTAGCCTGGGGTACCAAGATTTCTATTATATGAGGTATCCAAAGCTAGGACAAGGAATATAGATCAAATCTTGTATACTGATATAAAAGGAAAATAGTTTCCTACTTGTTAAACTTAATTAACCAAGATTTCTATTATGTGAGGTTAATTGAATTTAATAAGAAATTGAGTACTCACTAAGAAATTTAATCCAACGAAAATGTTTGGATCCTATCTAAGGGAGTGTAGGACTCGAATAAAATAGTGGGAGCTAATTTGATTATGCAATAAAAGGTTTTAAAAGATTACAAGACACTAATAAAATTATTTTTCTTTGAAGTTTCATCTTAAAATTGTGATAACTAATTAAAAATGGCCAACAATGTTCTCCTAAGGATAATGGACAATAAAATATTGACTGGACCCAACCTCAAGGAGTGGCTAAGAAATCTCAAAATCGTTCTGGATTTCGAAAGGATAGCTTATGTCCTAGAAGCACCTCTTCCACTTGATATTGGAACCGATGCTCCACAAGTTGAGCAGGATGCTTTTGAAAAATGGAAAGAGGATAGTAGGAGGGCTCAAAACTGCATGCTAGCTTCAATGAATAGAGAACTTCAAACTAAGCACGAAAAGGTTTCAAATGCTTATGATATCCTCGCAGCTCTACAAAAGTTGTATAGAGAAAATCCAAGAGTGGTTGAGTATGACTTATGTGCATCCCTTTTTAACTTGAAGCTGAGGGAAGAGGTACCTCCAGATGATCATACAATTAAGATGATCAATGGATTAGGACAACTAGATTTGTATGGGTGGTCATGCCAGACTACCTTAAAGTGAATTTGATTCTACAATCCCTTCCCCCAATTTATAAACTGTTTATAACTAACTACAATCTGAATAGAATTGAGCGAACTCTCCCTAAGTTGCTTAATGAGCTTCAAGAATTCCATAAGCAGAATATGAAAGGGAAAGGACATGAGAATGTCTTTGCTGCCTCCACCAGTAGGGCCAATAAAAGACCCAAA